CTCTCTCTCTCTCTCTCACACACACACACACACACACACACACACAAGTGCGCTGTCCGCGCGCCAGCGAGGGCACAGCGGCGGCAGCGCACACACACACACACACACACACACACACTCACTCGCTCACTCACAATCAATTAATCAAACCCCTTTTTCGAAGTTTTTCCTTTATTTATTTTCAAATTTTGTATCTGCATTCTTTTAAAACACCTCATACCCCTGCAAAAAACAGCAATTCATTTCTAAAAAAATACAAGTGAACTCAAGGACCATATATCTCATGATAAAAAATGACAAAAAAAAAATCCAGCTTTTCTTTATGTATATATTTTTATTTTTTTAAATCGAATTCATTTTTTTATTTTTAAAAAATCCTAAACAAAATCGGATTCCAAAAAAAAAAAATGGGGTTGTAGGGCTTAAAATTCACTACAACTGCATTTTTTTTTTTAAACCTATTATTTAATTCAGGAAAATTCTGGTAAAATCGGGTCCGCGGCGCGGACCAGGTCGGTCGCGGACGCGGCCCCATCTGCGTCCGCCATCCGAGATTGGACCCGTGGACGCGTCCGCGGGTGTTTCATAGGAAGACGGTACATGGGAGCATGGCGAGTGGGAGGGTTAATCGGGAGAGGGGCCAACCTCGCCACCGTTTCCGGAAGTTCTTGATATCGAACGATCCGGTGGAAACGGGGGAAGCAATTACCACTATGGGGGAGGGAAGCGAGATTATAGTCTGGATACAGGGTGGTGAAGGTGCGGAAGAGTGCCGCCCGAAAATGGTAGTAGTTCTCGCATGCGGGGATAGTCCCCGTAATCATGCAGTAAACTTCGATTATATTGTGGCCTCGCCACGCGGCGCTCAGGAGAAGGATATGGAGGTAGAAGTCGAGGAGGGCGCATCGGGTGGTCGAGGGGTGGGGATGGATTGTGACAATAAGACGGGTGGCATAGAAGAAGCGGAAGGTGTTGAAAGGAAAGGGATTGCGGGAGAAGGTAACGCGGGTAGTAGCCTGGCGGAGGGTGAGATGGTCAAGGGGACGGCGGGATAACGACCGGGGACGAAGCCCGATGCCCCGCATCAATACGGGCTCGAACTGGTGGACGGTCGGGCGTGGAGGGGGAGGGGGATCGGCTTCGTGGCCGCCTTGTCGGTGCGGTCGAAGTCTCGGCAGCTGGGTCCCCATCCTCGGGCTTGGGTGGCTCTGGATCTCGGGCCGGATCGTCGGCGACCTGCTGATTGGCTCCGCTGGCGAATTCCTGCTGTTGTTTTTCGGCCGCGATCTCTTCTGTCTTGCGTGCCGCCTCGAGGTCTTCCGCCTCTGCGCCCGCTTGCTCTCCTTCCTCCGCCGAGACATCCCGTTCCAACTCCTCCAACTCAAGCTCTTCCTCTTCGTCGTCTTGTTCTTCTTCTTCCTCCTCCTCACTTTGCTCCCCTTCGCTGTGTTCGCTGTAACTCCCCTCTTCGGGAGTCTCTTCCTCGTCGTCCTCCTCCTCTTCTTCTTCTTCCTCAACCGCTATCACCTCGTCTTTGGTGGCCGTTCGATCCTGGAAGTAGGAGGGATCGATGATCTCCCGGGGGCTCAGATAATCCCGCTGTGATGGCGGATTGCGGTCGTTTCCCGGCTTCTCCAGGCATGCTGAACACTGAAGATATGGCGCCAAGGTCCGCGTGAGAACGTGCGGGACCGGGCTCTCGTCACTTTGAGAGACGATCTCCAGGGGAAGATCGTCGGCTAGCTGCACGAGTGGGACCGTAAGCTCTAGGACGATTGGTTGGCGATGACTGGACCGCACCGATCCGAACAGGAATCCGAGAAGATCACCCTCCACGTCCGTTCTCCAGGCCTGGATAATCAGCCACTCCAAGTATTCGCTCCACTCGCGATGGTCTTCGTCCCTTGTCCACGTGATTCGTACCCCGACCAGGCACACCGAAAGCTCGACGAAGTGCTCACACCGAAGTCTCCATTGCCCAGGATTGAGAAGGGGGACTGCAAGCGGCTCCAAGCAAAAAGAGAGACGAGGGTGGAAACTAGATTGCCATAAGGTAGGAAAGAGAGATGGGAGGGCAAAAGTGGAGAGTTGGGAGTGGTTCATCGAGGAGGCTGGAAGGGGATGCGTTCTGGCAGCACCACTGCTGGCTCGTGCTGGAATGCTCGGATCCGTCCGAGCTCGATGCCGTCCGTGGGGAAAAGATTCTCCCCCGGGCGCGTAAGAGAGCGGTTCCACTTCGTGGCCAGTTGCCGCGCCCACTTCCTCAGTGACGTCCGGATGGCTGTATGCCGGAGCCCATTGACCGTGCTGATGTCGCCGCTGAAGCCGACGACCATGGACACGTGGCTAATCCCCGGAGCTGATCGCCGATGGACAGCCACCGCTTCTGCCAGTACCAACGCCTGAGGACTGCCCGCGAATCGGAACTCAGCCGCTGCATACACTCCCGAGGTGCAGAAGAACTGCGCCAGTCGTAGAAGATCTAGGTTAAGTCGTGGATGGCACACCTATGGAATCGCCGATATGTAACCCCATGGCGTTAGGAGATGGTCGTCGAGGGCTCGCTCCGTGAGAAAGCTCATGGCGATGGTGGCGGCGACGGGGTGTCTGAGAAAGAACGAGATGAAGAAGGATAGACAGGTGACAAGCATTCGTCGTCCATTTCCTCAGCGGAGGAGGAGTCGGATGAATGCAGAGATGGGGAAGAGGGAAGGAGACGTAGATATGACACGTGGCGGATGATCGGTCAAGCCGATCGGCTGCCAGAGACTTCAGGCGCAAGCCGCACGATGTTCACGCCGTTCGGTCCGAGCTCAATCACGAGGAATCGCCCAAAGAATCGTGGCGCTTGCTTACCCTGGCGAGCACATTTCCTTACCTGCACCAAGTCCCCCAATTTGTACTGGGGTCGTGGACCCGCATTCCCGTTCCGGGCCTCGTAACTTCTGACCTGCCGGCCGTGGGCCAACTCGGTCATTTTCTGGCGCTTTCGGGCTAACCGGGGCAGGGATCTTTCCATCAATTCCAGGTGTCGCTTGGCCTTGTCTCGAACCGTGGCCCTCGTGGGCCGTCGGTTCAACGAAGATTCGTCCGGGAGGTTTGGTATTGAAACGCAAGCGACGCTATTGGTCCTTAATTGGACGGGGCTCATGCCCATCGATTCGTGGGGCATCCCTCGATGGACCGCCAGGACGTGATCTACGATATCGGGCCAGGGCCTGGGGTCCCGCGCCACGATATTGCGTCGTAGCGCTGTCTTTATCACCCTATTTGCGTTCTCTACCAGCCCGTTGGATTGTGACATGTGGGGCGCGGTATTCCGAATAGCGACGCTGTGTACGACCAGATTCCTCAAAACTTCCCCTCTGAATTTCGCCCCGTTATCGGTCAGGATCTCTTCGGTGTCCTGGTGCATCCCGAGAAAACGGTTAACATACCACGCGATTTCGACGGCTTGTTGTGTACGACACGGGCAGGCCTCGATCCATTTTGAAAAATGGTCGACAAATACCAACAGGACTGAATACTCACAACTATTAGGACCAGGAGGTACCACGATATCGGTAGTATCCATGCTTACCCTTTGAAACGGCCGCTCAACTACCATTGGTACTATCGATCTCGGTGGTTGGATCGGCGCCTTATCAACGGTGCAGACTTGACAGTTTGCGACGATGAATTTTACATCGTCACGAATATTGGACCAATACCACTCGTTCTTATCGATGGCTGCCTCCGTAATTCGCACGGCGAAGTGGGCTGCAGTTTCCTCATGCGTCGTCTTTACCCAGTCGTACCTCATGAACGGATGCGGTATAACCATCCAAATCCCACTGCCGTCCGTTTTCCGTTTTTCTGTCCTACCCTCAACCCATCGATAATCCTGAGCCCGTTCGTTGGCCCTCCTCCGGTCCTCCTTAGTGAAGTCCTGAAGGGGGTTACCTACCAGGGTGGCTATTAGAGCGATATCCGTCCAGACTTCTGCCCTTCTAAACTTTCGGGTCTTTTCCAGTCCTTCCTACGTCGCGTCGAGGAACCATGCCTCGGTTGGGATCTTATTGGTTCAGCACAAAGGGCACAACCAGGGTTTATCGCTGCTTCGGTACTGGATGCGACACACTGGCGACAATCTACCCAATCGACGTAGCCTTCCCCGTTAGGACGCATGGAGACCGAATATACGCGAGAGATTGCTTCGCAAAAATAACAAAATTTATCATGCAGGGAGAGGAGAGATGAGGAGGAGACGGGAGAAAGAGGGGTTATGGGATTACCTCCGTCACCCACGGCCACCGGTCTGCTTCTCGCCACGTGGGAGAACTGCCACTTGTCCGTACTTAGGCCCGTTCGCCGGCTCTGACTCCTTCCACGGAGTGATTTCCTCGCCCTTAGGTACTTTAGCGGGTTGATGCAGACGCGTCAGTCCGTCCGCGTTGTCGTGTCTCTCTGTGTTTTGATGGATGATGTCGAAGTCGTATTCCTGTAGGCACACCGCCCAACGTCCAATCATGCCCGTGTAATTAGTGAGCTTCTTCAAAGCCAGCAGGGGCTCATGATCCGTCATGAGGCGGAACTTCTGTCCGTAAAGGTATGGATGTAAGTGCTGGATTCCCCAGACTACTGCATAGCATTCGCCTTGAGGTGCTGAATCATTCCTCCGTTCGTCTGACACTGTTCGTGATGCGTACTCGATGACGTGTGAGCGACCATCGTTCCCCTTTTGCGCTAAAATGGCGGAAATCGCTTCTGGTTGTCAGTCCGTTATAAGAATAAATTGCTTGGTAGGGTCCGACCGGACCAAAATTGGTGCGGTGGCCAGGGCCTCCTTGAGTGCGTCAAAGGCTTGCTCGCACTCAGAGTCCCACTGCAGAGGCTGGTCCTTCCGAAGCAGGTTCGTGAGAGGCCGAGCAATTTCCGCAAAACTCTTGATAAAACGACAGTAGTACGATGCCAGGCCTAAGAAGGCTCGAACCTGCGTCAGTGACGTGGGAACGGGTGCTTCTTTTACGGCCGCAACTTTTCTTGCGTCCAGTCGCAGCCCTCCACGTGTCACTATGTACCCCAAGAACGAAATTTCCGAGAGGAAAAATTCGCTCTTCTCGAGTGCAATCTTGAATCCAGCGTCTCTCAAAGCGCCTAATGTCGACTCAATGTGTTGCGCATGGCCGTGATAGGTCTCCGAATAAACCAGGATGTCGTCCATGTACATTGTACACGATCACACAGAAGTTGATCATTCCCTGAGTTAGCCGTGTCTTGTTGACAAAGTTCTGGAACGTCACGTTCATGGCCTGCTGAAATGTGGCAGGCGCGTTGCAAATTCTCATTGGCCATCTAACCCACTGCCACGTGCCTTCGAACAACACGAAGGCCGTCTTCGACCTATCTTCCTCCTTAACCAGAATGTGATGGAAGCCATGCCGAATATCAAACTTACTGAAATATTAGCATATCCAATCGCATCCACCAAATCATCAATCCGCGGGAGGGGATACATGTCTTTGATCGTGATGTCATTCAATTTGCGATAATCGATGCATATGCGGATCGATCTGTTCTTCTTTGGTACTAATACTACTGGAAATGACCATGGTCCAGTGCTAGGTTTGATCCAACCACTTGCTTCGAGAGCCTTTTTCCGTTCTATCAGGAAATACCGGTAAGGCTTGCAGTGAATTGGGGAATGATTTCCCGTTTGAATTTCGTGTTGTATGACTAACGACAAGCCGATGTCAGTGTCCGTTACACTAATCGCTCCCTGATATTCCATCAGAATGTCCGCAATCAAATGACGAATCTCATCAGGTACGAACTGCGGAACGTGCAATTCTTAAGGCTGATCCCAAATCCGTACGTCGATCTGCTTCGTGCGTGCTTGTTTTGCCGCCTAGGGTGGTGGCGCAGAGATAAACGAATGGTCCAATCGCGAGGAGAACACCTTGGCCATCATCTGGGCGTCTTCCTTCCAGATGGCCACGTGTCCTTTCGAGGTGATTCCATCACAGATATCTTGCCATGGTACGGGTTTAGTCGTGATCTTAATTCCGAGCCCGTCTGATTCTGCCTCGAAATGCCCAGGGGGTTCCAAAGAACTGGCCTCCACCCCCAGGCGTAACAATCGTACTTCTTTTGCGGGTGACAGCAAGGATCGTGGTAGGCCCGTTATGTCGCAAAAGGATCTCTTGTCATTGTATCGTGCGAAAAGAGGGGTCATTCCTTCGTACAAGGTCCGAGGGGGTTCCAGAGAATCGACCATCCTTGAGATTTGTACGAGGGGTTCACCCAAAATCATTGCCTGGGTCCTTTGTACATTCCGACTAGTTAGATGCATCGTTCTTGCGATCGTTCTGGGAGGTGGGTAATAAATGGGTTGTCGTGCTAGTTCCAGAATTACCGGATCATTTTCGTCACTGTTATCCGCATCCTTCGATGATGGCTCATCGTCTGTGGAGTTTTCCCGGGTGATCATGCGAAGAGCTCCCGCCATCATTGGAGAAACTCGCGGGACTACGTTGATGGTAGTATGAAGAGTCAGCCTCATAGGTACAGCATAGGTTTTTCCTCCCGTATTTCGGAGGATAATCGACCGTCGCTCGAAGTCCAGGTTTGCTCGTAACGCCACAAGAGCGGGAAGGCCGAAAAGGACATCATAGGTGTTTACGTCTAATACCACGACATCTCCCAACCCATGCACCTTTCCTAATCGAAAAGCGACGTTGATCATTTGTCCCACTGTTTTGATATTTTTTTTGTCTGCCGAAACGAGCTGCTCCTTTTCCGTAAGCATGATTAGATCGTTTCTCCTACCCGCCCTCTCAACTACCCGTAGCGAAATATCCAACACGACAGCTCCCGAATCGATGATCCCATTGTACGGAATTCCCCATATCTCAATGTCGCATTCCGCCGATTTCCAAGAGATGGGTTTAATTCGTAGGAAATGATCGTCTTTCTGGATTAATCCCACCCATATCGGATCCGAAGTGCCAGCTGTATTTTCGTCTGGCGTGGGGTTTTTAGCTTTCACGTTCGTTGTTCGGGCGAGGGCGAATCGCTTTCGATTCGCCTTGCGGTGCTGTAGCATTCGCTCATTGGCTTGTTCAGAGCTGGGTAGCACGCCGTACGTGTACACGGGTTGCGCGTACACGTGTACACGTATTCCTGTACGCGACACATACGCGCGTACACGTACTCCCGTACGTGGGAATACGTAAAAAAACAAACAAAAAAAAGTTCATCGAAAAAATCTGAAAAACAAGTATGTTATGCAAAATGATATTTCAAACAAACTTTGCCAGAGACTCATCTCGAAATTCTGTACCAAACTCGAGTTAAAAATCAAAGGCACAAACAACAAATAAATTGAAATAATTAAAAAAAAAACTAGGAAAAAAACACACAAAAATAAAAAGAAACTTCTATAACAAATATACGTTCTGCAGAAAAATGATACAAACAACTTGTGCCTGGGATTCACCCAAGAATTCCCAACCAAACTCGAGTAAGAAAATAATAATAAAAAAAAAAGTAATATTATCATAATAAATAAATAACTATTTAAAAATATTTTTTTAATTTGTTAAGGTTTTTTATTTTTAAATCGAGCTTGCTTATGACTCCGGGTATGAACTTCAGGCAAATGTTGTTTGTATCATTATTCTGCGCAACATACTTTGTTTTCAGATGTTTTGGGTTTTTTTTTTTTTTTTTTTTTTTTTACGTACGCATACGCGCGATTTTGGGTTCGTCGCGTATGCCGGAATACGTACGCGTACACACTGCGTACGCGTACGGGGTGCTACCCAGGTTCAGAGATCGAGAGCAAATGACCGACCGGAAGTGAAATCCGATGGTTCAAGGCTCGGATGATGTTCATCACATCAATTTCCCCAGTGACGAAGGTGGGTCCTCCCGACTCCATCTCTCCTGGAGAAGGTCGCCATTCTGCCACTTCTTTCTGTTCCAGCGAGGGTCTGATCGTTCCAATCATTCCAAGCCCCGGGTAACCAAGCGATACATATTGGTCTAACAGGATAAGCTCAGCAGCTTCTTCCGAAGTAGCTAACGCACTACCTCCGCCCTCCATTTCTTCCATCAGGGCTCCTACCCGTCCCGGCCCGTTAGCGATGGGGCGACCCCGGCCCGTTGTTGCGGGGGCCGGCGGGGGCAATCACGAGCTAGATGCCCCGGTTGATGGCACGCATACCAGATGTTTAAATTGCTTGCGGCCCCTCCGAGAGCAGGTGCCGGGGCTAGCCCTTGTTGGATTGGGGCGGCGCGTACTGCGATAAGCCGCATATTTCTCATCATAGCCTCTAACCGACCGTTATGCTCTCACTGTTCCTTTTTGCTTTCCTGGATTAGGTTAATTAGTGTTTTGGTTAGTTCAAAAATAGCTGTGGATTCATTTGACCTCACAGGGTTCTCAATTGGTGGCGGGGTGCCGTCATTACATGTGTTGGCATCACAGGAACAGGGACACTCGTGATCACACTCGAGGCCGGTCGTTTAGGGGCTATCTGTTCCAGATAGGTGACTGGGCCAGACACAAATCCCATGTTCTCGAACTTGTTTCGCAACGCAGCTAGTTCAGCTTTTGCCCTCGCAAGTTCGGACGAGTCTCCCTCCTTAGGACAGTCTTCTCCTTCTAGGAAACTCGCAGCGAACTTTCGTTTCATCTCCTCTGCAGCGGCCATAATCTGTTGCATCGTATGATTGATGGCGCATAGCTGTTTTCAAAGTTTCGCCCTTATCATTCGGCTGCGAAGTCCATCGATAAACAAATCTCTCCCGACTTGCTCGCCCCGCTCAATTTTCATAAACATTCGGTAGAATCGGTTTCAATATTCCGCGATAGATTTGAGAGGTTTTTGCACCCGGTCTTTAATAATGAAGAGTGCTTGCTCTGGATGGACATAGTCGAATCGATCCAAAAAGTCTCGCTCGAAAGTTGGAAGATCCACTCATACATAGGTATTAAACCAATGATGAGTGTCTCCTCCTAATCGGGCGGGAATATTTACCTGAGCTTCGTTATCATCATACTGATGTGCTCGGAGCATGGCCAACCATGCTCCTGCGAGATGATGTGCAGGGTCAAACAGATAGAGATCAGGTGGCGTCATGGGAGCCCGTGCTTCTGGGGCCGGTTGATTAGGATTTTGTTCTTGATTCTGTTGCGGATTCAGATTCTGTGGATTGGCGTTCATGTTGGCTGCCCGTCGATTAGCCGATCTACTTCGGGTGATGACGGGGTCGCGTCGATTCGCGTTCCGGGGTCGAGGTCGCCCTCGGTTAGCCAGATCTCTCAATTATCGTGCTGTTAGTCCTATAACCCGGCCACGTGTCGGGCTCCGATACCAACCTCACGCCCAGCGCGACTTCCTGATCGGAGTGGGGTGTGGGCCTGAAAGTGCGAAAAGGGGTGTGCCAAGGATTTTTGGGAAAGTGGGGGTGGAGTCCCAGGTCAAAACTGAGATCTCCTGTGGCAGAGTTTTTCGGGGGCATGGGTGCAATTTGGCAGAGAGGGCGGACCACTTTCGGCATAAGGCAGATGGCATGCGCAGGTCATTCAAGGTCGCTCGATCCTTCCGTTTTGATGACGGCGACTCGTCGAAAGGTCCATTCGGGGTGGATGTGATCCTGATGAGTCAGGTCGTCGGTTGTCGCCACGTGGCGCCGGTCATCGCGCGTTCCGGTTGGGCCCTCGGGTTTCCGGGGCTCTTTGGTTGCCGCGTCGTCGGCAATTTCCACAGGGCGTGCGGGGCCGATATGGGGCTATGGCGTTCCACGGGACGACCCTGAGTTGATGGTACGGGAGAAGAAGACGGAAGGGAGGGAAGTTAGTGGAGATAATGACAAAACCGGGGGAAATAAAGTAGTGGGTGTGGTCTGAAGTGGGGAAATCAGAGCACCGTGGATCGCTTGTTGTGGCACAGTGAAATTCCCTATGACACAGTCGATTCTATGTTAGGCAGGGGAACCTCTATCGGAGGCACTCTTCTATCCAAGGGGTGAAGTACTCCGGGTCCCACGACGAATCTGAGATCCCGGAGCGTGTCATTATGTCATCGTAGGGCCGCGAAATTCCTAAGGGCGTGTCTTTGTCGGTTGCGATCACCGCATGTGAGTACGTGTAGGCCACGCGAGTTGAATCGCATTTACACGTGTTCACACGGGATGATTACTTCGTCGCCGACGCAGGATGGCCACATCCAATCAGGCAATATCCCCGCAATCGTTAGCCTTTTCATGCGTAGGTGGTTGTGGATCGACGCGCGTGGACACGTGTAAGTGCGCAGATCAGATCGCACTTACATGTGTCCCTGCGAGGCGTTCGCTGGTTTCTGGGCAAACAGCTACCCGATCATCTAATCACTCCGTAATTTCTGAGCATGCAAGATGCAACAATCACAACAGCTCAATCAATGGATAGACAAGAACGGAAACAGTATTGATGGCTACGCAAAATTCCTACCCTACTCATAAGTGCATCAAGACGATAAGCAAAGGCAAAGATCAGGCGTAAGGAAAGCAAATGGACACGACATCCATTCATGCAGCATAACACACAACATCAGAGATTGAAATCGCAAAAAACGAGTGTGGGCGAACGAAAACCAAGCCAAGATTCCGAAAACAAAAACGGGCAAATCGCCCCGATCCGAAATCAAAATTTACATACACCAGCAGAGAGGGAGAAAAAACAAAAGAAACAGCAAATCCGCGTCCATCAACCTTAGCTCCCTCTTTCTCTCTCTCTCTCTCTCTCCGATGCGGACAGTCCGTCGTCGCGCACCAACCCATGAAGTCGTCACCCCGCTTAGTCCTCCCGCACCCGTTATGTTCGGCCGCGCCCACAGTCCGTCGTGGCCCATGTCAACCCCGCGTGTTTGGCACCAGCTCGTCGGGTCGCCCGACTCCCACTTCAACTCACCTCTTGCTTCGCTCGTGAGCTGACCCTTACTGATCGCGCTACCCCGAGCTTCCAACAGTTGGTTAAGCGAGCTAACTAGTCGCGCAGCCGAAATTTATAGCGTGCATGCATGCGCGAAGAACACGGAATTACAAGGACTTAGAAGGAAGATTAGGAGAGGGAGCGCCTATGTTCTGCATGGCCTGATCGCGGCGTGGGGGACGTAGCCTCTCTTCACGCATCAAACCGAGCATGCAGTCCGCGGGCTGGCTAGACACAGCAAGAGAAAGCGAGAGTGGGAAAGACGAAACACAAGAAGAAAGGATACAGTTACAATGGTGCCCGCTCAAAATTACAGTTACACACCCGATTAAAGGCGTCGACTAACCGGAGTTCCGTTGCAGCCACATGAAGAAGCGCATAAACAAAAAAGCGTTGCGCGACAAAAGAAAATCCTAATTGCAAAAATTCCTTAATTCCTATCTAATATAGAAAAGGCGAAAAGCACAAGTTTCGAAAGAAAAGTCCGAAATTCCGAGAGCCATCGGGGCTCGATAAGATTAGAGAAAAGAATTCAAAAAGAAAATAAAAAAAGAACGAAGCAAAATTCTCGCGTGATGTCCGCGCCTAAAAATCCAAAATTGAAACAAAAGAAGCGACGTCAACAATTGTTAATCGCGCACACGGAGGCGCGCCGGAGACACAGCCAATCAATCGATCGTCCCGAGACTCACCCGGTTCCGAACCCAACCATTCGAAAAAAAGCGACACAAAAAGGCGAAGAAGCGAGGACACTGATGCAATTTCCTTCCAATCCCGATCTCCCGTAGTTGGCCCATCCTTCCCAGCTTAGGACCCCTCATTGCTATCGCGCAGGAAATCGCACGGTGCAGAAATCGGTTCGAATTACCGAACGCTAGAAAGCTTGACATGACATGATTGAAGACTTATGAAAATAATTTCCCCCTCCCCTCCTTCCCACCCTATCCAGACGTTGCCTCCACCGAAACGGATTACCCATATAGCAGGCATCCCATCTCAGCCCCAACTTGGGACAGTCCCTCATCCCCCCCACTTATCCCACAGARGCATACAGTTCCCTCCCAAAGTATGCCTCTGCCCATCTTTCACCCTAATCTGCCCCCGCTGGGATGTGTACCCCCACCCCAACCCTAGAATAGAGCAACCCACTTAATCTGCTCGAACCCCCTCAAGGGCTTCACCCCCCACCT